GTTTTGTTGTCCATTTTACTTTTAGAAATTAATTTCAAAATAAGTGCATTCTACAAAGAGTTGCATTAGGCAGTCTTCAGTAGCTCTAATCTGCATAGCTCTGCAGAGATCAGAGGAGCTCTCGTGATTCACACCAGCTGTCTCCCTGGCCCTTTCCTGTGGGTAGTTAACTCTTGCTGTGGTCGTTTGGGCAGCACGGTACATGCCCACATTTTTTTTCTCCCCCTAGGAAAATGCAAACAGCGTGGTACTTCACAGGCCCTGCTGTTAAACTTTAACACTGATGTATAGGGAGCATTTTGCAAAAGTCAGGATCCTGAGGCTCCAGCTCATTCAGATCCTGCCCGCCTTGTAAATCTTTCTTGCCCCACTTCAATGGAGATAAGAGGGATTGTATGCCAGAGGTTTGGCTGAGAGAGACCACCCAAGTCATAGCTCATTTCACTTCTGCTGACCTTCTCTGATATGCCCATCAAAGCAGCGATTAAAATACAGAGCAGGAACTTTGTGTAGTGCAAATGTGTTCCATCAATCTCCTTTTCATCTGGCTCTTCAAATACTTCAGACCTGAGTAAGCAACTGAAAATTTTGCAAACAAGAATAAGTAAATGTAAAGACAGATTTTTTTCCCCCTGTTCTGGAGCAGGACGATCTGTTTACCTTTCTGAAGGAGCTGTCAGCAGAGTGGTCATCATGAAATATTGAATCACAAATGGTGTACTCCTAGGAAGACAAGTACATGTAGAAACTTGTTACTTCTATTTTCAAGAGTGTTTTATTCCCCCTGCTATTTGAGTTTGGCAGCAGACTTTCTTTTTAAGTTCTAGTGTTGCCTTTTAATAGACTCTTAGTTGCCTGCTGTAACCAGATGGGCCTGAACCTCTAAACATTTTATTCACTTGTTTTCTGCAATTGTATAAGCACATAGGTCAGGAAAGTCAAGCAAGTGAATGAGTGGAGGGCCCTTATGCATTCAGGTTATATGTGCACGCGTAGAAACAACAAGAACCCTGCTATACAATTTAAACAGTCTCCTGAGCTATTCCCTGATTCACTCTATGATATTGGTGTCTTTTCATTGCCAGCCTAGTGCTGCTGGCTACAATGGATAATTTTCCAGACGTGAGATTGAGCCTCTAACTGAAAAAAGAAGGTTGTTTTAAAGGACCTAAAGAGTAAAATGACATTGATGGGGGCTTTGCATTTCAGTTAGAATACGTGGACATACTCCATGGAACAAGAACTGATTGCTTCCCTTTGAGTGCAGTGGAGAGCCCAACCCAGAGCCAGCACAGCAGGCTTCAGCAGAGAGGAGGTTTCACAGCTGGTGCTGGAGTTTCCTTGGGCCCCACCGTTGTCTCTCTCTGCTGGCAAGCCAACACACACACGTATCCATCTCTCTCCAGACACAGCTTGTGGGGATGTGATATACAGTGCAATTCCTTATGTGGGCTTTCTGAAGCTTGGTTCTATATATATCTGCCCTCTCCTGCAGCTCTGAGCCTCACAGGCTCATACAACACATACACCCATACAGAGAAGTGCAGCAGAAACCTCTTGCTTCTACAGTGTTTTGTGATTTGTACACCCACACAGGGACTTTATTTAGTTTGGTCTGTAATCTTTGGATATGGGATGTTCTTGCTAAATCATCTCAATGTCTAGGAGACGTGTGCTGGAGGAAATCCAGGTCCAACTGCCCTGTTCTCTGGAGCTGGACAGAGCCATACCCATGTGTACCAGGAGCTCGTGCTGGCCAATAGGTCCCTGTTGGAGGAATGTACCGTTCTCTGCATAGCATCGTGGTCTCCTACACCCTTTGCAGATGTAGGGATGTCTGAAGAGCATAAATAAAGTTGTCTACCTTTTGACTTACTTTTTTGACTGGTCATTTTGTGGAGGAAGGGAATAGAAAATCCTTGAACATTTCCCTCTTTCCTGAGCACCCATGGAAGTGTAAGATATGAAACAGCCCTTAGCATCTCTGAAGCCAGTCCCACTGGAGCCTGGCACACTGCACGTGGTTTCGTGTGGACTAGGCCTTTAAAGGTGCTTCAGGCCTGTGAGCCTCTGTATCTGCCCACAAGTGAGCAAATATATAAGTTAATCATATGATTACTGTAACACAAAGCAACCTCTGATTATGTCCTCTGACTGGTGGCATGGAGACCAACCACAGGCCCAGCAGGAGTTCTCTCCTTCTCTGCTACACTGCATGCAAGGAAGGAGACCTGACACAGATACCACTTCAGCTCTTCACTGTTGCACTTGGATGAGTTGGGGAGTAAAGGTAAGGGAAAATCACAATGTGCTGTAGGAGCATTTTGGGGTGCCCAGATCACTGGTTTGGATTCTTCAAACCATCAAAAAAATAGTCACCTACTAATCTGCTTTTCTGGTTTTATAGTCTGAGGTGTGTTCTGCAGTCACTGAGCACAGATGCACACCTTCAGGGTGCAATTCATCTTAAGATAGATGTCTAGGGGATACAGAAGGTGAATCCTCTTCTGGAGATGCCCAGATTTTTCCATTAACTTCAGGGGGAAAAAATATACAAGCTCAAACAAAATAACTGCCATTTGGACAGATTAAGTTAAATGACACAAATTTGCACCCAGATCCCTCTCATGACACCTATAAAGGCACCTTTCAGGTCAGCAACAGGATTAAAAAGCCCCAGTAAATTCCTACCTACATCTGCCCCAGAGTTAAGGATAAGATTTTTCTGTTTGAGAATTTCTGTAACTTCTCTCTCATTAGTGTTTGGTACCTTCTGGGAGGCTTAGAAAGCTTTGATAAACTAGCAAAGTCAAACAGTTACCTGTTCAGCCCTCTTCATTTTCTCTGAATAAAAAACAAATGACAAAAAATGTTTCAAAGGTACTTAGGTGGAAGTCAGAGATAGATCAGAGCAAACAGGAGAATGAATGATCTGTGCAGATGGTCGTTGAGAGAAGCTGGGCTCTTGTGCCCCACCATTGTTTTTGCAGGTGAGATCTTTCCCTTCTAAAGCTGAGGAAGTCTAAAGACTGGATGGGTTTGAAAGACACACATCTGCCTTTGAATTCTATTGTTATTATCATGGCATCGTTTTACATAATTGACACCTTAAAAAAAAAAAAAAAAAAAGTGGTTTGGAAGATATTTTGTTTATACTGTAGCTAAATTCTGGTTGAGTTGTCTAGTCCTACTGAACCATACTGTATATTCATCAATGCATAGTTCTCTTGCATTTCAGTATTTGTTATGAAAACCAAAATTCTTACTCTGAGCTATTTTTGCTGGCAGAGCTTCAAAGGGAGCAACTGCTTTACTTCATGCCAACCTCTGTAGCAGTGGGGAAGAATACCTCTCCTAGGATCTTTTTAACCTTTTGATGCAGATTTGTCTGAACACATTTTTTTCCCTTAGTACATACCTGCAATGACAGGAACTTGTTTGATAAGACACTGACATAAGAAGTTAAGTGCTCTTGTTTAGTGAAAATAAATTGACCTGTGAATCAAAACATCTTTTAGTTTCTTTCTTTACTTGTTGGCAAAACTGATAAAAGAATTTCCAGGCTGCAGAAACATAACATCCTACTCTTTTCATGGAAGTGTAGCCATTAAAAAGTGTCACTGCCAGAGCTGAGGTGATAGACAGATCCTCCAGCCCATGGCAGAACAATAGCAAAAAGGGACACTTTATGCCGGTTAGGGTAGAGTGAAATCTGCTGTTTTTATGTCAGCAACACCAGCAGTTATTTCCCAGAAACTTTACCATACACACGTGCAGGGCTTCCGCTCTGGGCTATGCCTTAACTTGTAGTATAATCAAGACATTCACAAGACCAAGCAAATTACTGCCATCAGCTCCTATTTATCTGCTGTTTCAATTCATTCCAGAAAAGGTTCAAGAGTTGCTGTTTGTTTTGCAGAAGGAAAGTATCAGCCATGCCTTGGTGGGAGCCAAGATGCCAGAACTGCAGCCATGCCATGGTGTGGAGGTGGGTGAGCTCTGCCAAGGCTGTGCCAGGGGAGTTCTACAGTCAGCAGGGGAGGCTGTGTTACTAGGATCAGCCAGAACAGCAGGCCTTGGCATTACTAGTGTACTGGGATGCATGGGTCAGAGCAAACCTCACTGCCCCTGCCTGTGTGCAGAATCTTGGAAGATGTTGGTCTTTTGCAGGTCCAGAAAGGAGAGATGTTGATAAAATCACTATAAGATGGTGGGTACGGGGCTCAAGGTATTGCAGTAGTTTAGCTCTGAAGCCCATTTCTGTCTTCTGATAACTGAAAATGAAAGACAGTATACTATAAAATACAGTGTCAGTAAATATCATCATAAATAAAAAAAATAAGGTGATAGGTTGCACTCAGAAAATCTCTAGATTACAATAGTTGTGTAATGTCTCTCTTTCAACACAGCTGGTTTTGTTCAGGTAAGATCAAGCCACTCTTACCTGTCTGGGATTTCTTCCTGGAACAGGTATAGCTTTATCCATAGGTTTTATATTTTAGGAGAAAACTAGGTCTCAGTTCCCCAGTGCTTAACAAAAAATACAGTACAAACCCAAACTTTTTGCAGTGTTCAGTGTGGAAAGGCTGTGTTTATGTTAGCAAGCAGTGCAAGGCAGTGGACTGGGTCTGTAGAGAAAAATAGTTGGTGTTGATGACTCAAAGTCTACAAGACAAGTCCTTTAAGGTGACTTGCTTTGGAGTAGTGCTAATCTCGTTCCATAGACCAAACACCCAGTAGCAGCTGGACTGCATTAGGTGGGCCAAAATGCAGTAAAAAGGGAAAGGGAGATTTGCTTCTAAAGCACGTTTCTAAACTGAACTAAAATTTGAATGCCCTGTAGTGTTAGTGCAGGTGTACCCTGAGTCTCTCACGTTCCTTTACTGGCTGACCTTTGTGTCTGACCAGATTCCTCTGGACATTACACCTTTCATTCTCAGGTCTGATCCAGCTCTCCAAAAGAAGAAAAATTCATCCAGCAGCGAATACAATATGCTTGCCTTGATATGATAATCGTGTGTCCCAGTGTGGATATTCATGAAAGTCTTTAAAGGTTTTGGTGGGTCATCACATGAGTCATTCAGCACGGGTGTCAGAAGTACTACTGTGTGTTATGGCAAACCTCCCCCTCTGCAGAAATAGAAAAGTACTAGTGGGAAAAACCAGAAGGAATACCCAAAGTGTGAAAACAGATTATTCAAAGCTTCTATCTCTGTAATTTGTACTAGCTGAACACAAATAGATGCAATTACCGCAAACTTTGTAAAACAGCAAGTGATGAACACTTAGAATTCAGGCATATCTTTGACATATACATAAATTAGAATTAAACACTGCAGTGGTTACACACATGATAATGTATTTCTGCTATCATATGATTTCAGTTATTTTAAATTCATATATTTTCAGTTTCTTGTAATGTTCTTTTAAGTATCTCTAATTTATTTTCCTGCACCAGCTTTGTCTTTCTTTTGCTTGGCAGAGATTGTTATTTTTTCAGTTTATCACTGGGGACATTCAAATTATTTATTTATTTTTAAACAAACAGCGCAAAGGCTGCCAGCAGAACTTCTTGGAAAAGTGCTTGGCTTAGCCTCATTCTGTCATCTGAACAGTAGCCAAGCAGGGCACGTTGTTAGTACTCTGTGAACAATGGGTACTATTGTTATATTAACTTGGTTCCATTTCTTGGGGGAGAAAGGAAAGATTGGTGGATTTAGTGGGAGATAAACTGCATAACAGGCACATGCCCAGTTTGGATTTTACTGAGAGCAACAAAGTGTCTCCAGTTAACATCACTGGGAATGAGGTTAAGCTCTTAGGATTACATCTGTTTCACCAGCTGTAGTCATCTAAATGTTACATTTCTAAACTCACCCAAAGGCTTTCGCTGTGGATGGAGAGAAGCTGTAACTCTTGAGGGCGAGTGGGCCCATCACAAGGCGTCTGGGAAAGGTGTGATGAATTGGCTTCCCTTTGCTGATTGCATCATTCTGCTTTCCACATTGTTACTATTATAACATTTTTACTAGACCATCTTGACCTGTAAATATCCCACAGTGGTGGTTTGAATATGGTGGGTTGCTGCTAAAGCTTGAGCAGCATTTTCAAGGCCCACAGCTGAGCAGCACCAGTCTCGCTCATGCACAGGAGCATCAGGGAGCAAGACCTGAGCACAGGGTGAATCATCTGACTTTGTAACAGTGGCTTTAGAGCACATTGTGCCTGACCTAATTAGCCCTGAAATACCCAGTCCTTATCACCATTTCCCCTAGCAACAATACTGCTCTCAGGCTAGAAGACTGATTTCCAAACAGCTGTTCCTCCATGGCTGAAGGCTTCATGCAGAGGTCCCTCACTTCATTTTCCATCTGTAATGACTGCAAAGTCAACTTCACACACTGCACCTGAAGGGTGGAGTCTGTCACTGGCATGTTCCCTTTCGTTTACAGCCTTTGCTACATGTTGTTATCAGGGCTTGAGTGCTGAGGTGCATGGATGGCACTTTGGAAGGGCAGAACATCCCCTTGGTATACCCTTAAGGATGCTTTTTTGTTGGGTTTCTCTAGTAGAATAAAAACAGACATATCAGAGATTGTTATTGTGTGTCTTCTTTTTACTGTTGCTATTAAAAGTAGAATTATTATTCCATTGCAGAATTAAATATATTCAGTGGTTTTGAAGAAGTCTGAGACTATTTGCTACCTCTGCATTTCTAGAAAGCTCAAACTCGAGAATAGCTTCATTGAAAATCAGCACTTGCACTATTTGAACTAAGAAGAGTTGGGTTTTCAGGGTTGAGCAGTGAGAGATAGAACTGATCTTCATGCTTTCACCCCTGTATAAGCTGCAGAGCCTTGCACCGATCCTCTGTTTCGACTGCTCTGACAGTAGTCAAGGTGATGTGTAAGGAAGCTGCAGCTTGCAGGAGAATATGAAAATATGGCAGAAATGGCGTACTGAGAGACACAAGGGTACAGCTGATGTCTAGAGCAGGACAAAAATCTCTGGGGTTAACAAGAAAAAAATCTGAAAGTGTTCCAAAACATTTCACCAAAGTCCAAGTGTTAGTGACAGATGTTAATGATGTTGCTTAATGCTTGACTGGCAGGTAGTCAGAGACTTGTGAGCTGAGTGTGGCTTAAGAGCTTACTTGAAAGCAAATAGAAGCTTGCAATGAGGCAACGCCAGTTCCTGGTGCTGGGAGGAACATGGGAACTGCTGGGAGTTGGGAGCACACATCTGTTTAGCCCAATATCCTGTCTTCAGCAGTGGCAGATGCTTTGGAAAAGAAAAAGAAATATGGCATGTATACAGCATTCCTTCCCCTCCTATAATCCCCCAGCTCCTGGCAGTCAACAGTGTAGGGACTCCCTAATGCCAGACATTGCATCTGGACTGTTGTTTTTAATAGCCACCAATGGACCTATCTTCCATAAATTTGACTAATCCTTTTCTGAAGCCATTTTTATTTTTGGCCTTCACAGCATCCTACAGCAACAAACCCTTGGGCTGAATTATGCTGTGTGTTAGAAAGAAATCTCTTGTGTTTGTTTTAAACCTGGTTCTCAGTAATTTCACTGGGTGTCCCAGTTCTTGCACAGTTAAAAATAGTGCACTGTCCCTTACTCAGACTCCTGAGGCTGGCTCATTTTAGAGATATGCTTTTTCCCTTACCAAGCATAAAATGCCTACTCACTGAAGAGTGAAAACTGCTCTGCATCTCTGTTGCCTCGTCTGTTATACACTGCTTCAAACAAGGTCTCCCTACAGCATTTAAAATGGGAGTATACTATCTTACACTACTCCTCATGTCTTCTGCCTAACTGTAATGTTTATATAGTGGACTGTGTTTGTGTGTGCTTAACAAGATTATAAATGCTTGTAAAAAATAATCTTTTCTATTTCTTGTTCATGACATGGTGAATCCTAAGGGCTATGAACGAAGGTAAAGGGAGGAATGAAATGATCCTTATTTCAGGGCATCTCCACTGACCATCCCCAGCATCAATGCAGGGACCATCTCCAGCCCATGATCACAAAGAGCATGTGGCAGCATGGCCTCTCCCTTCCACCCACCAGAAACCAAAAGGTGAAAACTGAGGCTGGCAAAGACCACGTTGGTGGTTGCTTGTGGAACACTGCTGGCTCGCTGCTCCTGCTCTAAGGGACAATGACTGCTGGGCACCTCCACCATGCAGAGCAAAGCCAGCCATGAAGGATGGAGCATCCACCAGCATCCTCCACACCGAAGCTGGGGGTTATGGTTCCTACCTCCTCACCATGCTTTCAGGGCCACCAGCACAATGGTCATTGTGGTGGGAAACCTGGATGTGGCAGATGTCTTGAAAGCTTATTGTACTGTGCACAGCAGAAGAGTGTGAAGGGATTTCTAGTAGTATTAGCTTTTCTCTATCATGTTTTGTCTGGCTGCAGAGACATCTTTCACTGTCCTACAGAGGAAGGAAGAAGGAGAAGCCCTGGCATTAGGGTCTAGTTGCAGTTTGCAAGAAGCAACGTTGATTCCTGTGGCCTCCCTTTTAAGATATTGTTAGAGCTGGTAGCTTGTGCTGCTTCCCAGTGAAAAGTTCCTTGTTCCCATATCCCTCACAGAACTTTCCACCCCCCAATGGGAGGCTTCTCTGAAGAGCAGCCGGGTTGCCCTGAGCATCTCAGCCATGCACAGAGAAAAACAGACAATTTCCAAGCAGCTCTTGATTTACGAGCCCTTACTCAGCTAAGGTGATTAGCCCAAAATGTTGACCTAAAGCCACCAGTGGGAGGCAGCTTGGTTGCTGTTGTAATTGGGCTTACCTCATACCCTCAGATCAGTATCTGATTTATCACCACAGCGGTTCTGCCCTAAATTACTGAACCTAAATGTTCTCCTGCTTCCCTAGTGGAGAAATCACAGGGAGATAGGTTAAGAGCCAAAATTTCAGAGGCAGCTTTCAAATATTTTCATCTTTTCTAGCCCTTGAGCTTTTTGGTGCATTACAATTGAAATAGGTGAAAGCTCTGAGTTCTAGAAGGCTGCTTCATTAAGCACAGAAAATCTAGATGCTTGCTGATGAACCAAATCTCTCTCAGTTAATACCCCACATAGCAGCCACTGGATGCCATCCATGAACTATCCAAGAGTGCTCACAGAAAATATTTGCATGAAAATGTGAAAAATAGAAAACCATGGTAATGACACAGTAGATGCTTCAGTGGCCACGTTTGCTGGAAATAGCTGGTCTAGCTTTGGTGCATTAAACCCCAATTAGGCCCCTGAGATTTGAACATGCACGTACATGGTTTGCTGAATTGGTGCCATGCTGCATAAAAATGACATTTCATACTCTGAATTTTGAATGTACAAATACTTTGGCACCAGAAGAGGGGAGCACGCAAAGAGTTAGAGGCACAAATCTGCAGGGCACATTGAGGCCCTTGTGAAATATGGCCCTGGATTTTGGCAGCTGAATTTAACTTTATAGCCAGAGGGTGAAGAAAAATATATTCAGATTTCTATAGTAAACAAGTCTAACAGACGTTAACTTTAGCAGTGAGTCTATTACCACTTGCATTCAAAAATTGCATTTTTGATGTGTTATGTCACTTAGAGCTATTTAAACCCTTTTCTTCTCCATTAAAATAGGCATGTTAACATGTACCACAGGAGAATGTGCTCTTGAAATGACAATATTTGGTTTTAATCCTTACATTTCTTTGAACAAGTTTGTACATACTTCCTCCACTCTAAAAAGCAACTATCCTTCATGTTTAGTGATGGTGAATTTGAAACAAAAAAGAAATGGTGCATTGCACATGAAAATTGAGCCTGGATAATTGTGAAGGGTCTTTTTGACAGCCACTGCACTGTAGCTGGAAGGTCACTGCTAAACTGCAGAGCAATTACAGTCCTCAGCAGAACTGCTTTACTTCTGTTTTACACTAGAGTAACTTAATAAAGTAAAATTGGACCAGTGCCATGACATTTAAGGAACTGTATTTTGAAGCCTCCTTCACACCAAAGTAATTTGCTGTGACATGTTGCACATGTCTCAAAAACACATTTGGAGATAAATCATTAAAATGGCCAGCCAGCACTGCACTGTTGCTGTGCACTGAGAGTGTCATCCCAACGTTCACCAGATTTTCTGCCTACTGCTGTAGACTGGTACCAGAGAACGCAAACAGCAAGCAGAAACTAAAAGGATCATCATTTCAGAGATTTGTATCCCTTCCTGTTCCTGAGGCTGGGGACACTGTGTTAATAGTTTTCTTCCCTATGGAAACCTCGGTGTGATTTCTGACATGTCGTGGCTGGCTGGTGCCACGCTCTTGGTTTGCAGTCAGGGTTTTTGCAGGGGCTACAAAGAGTCTGGGAGGAACCTTCACATACGTGTTTGGGTCTGAGTGTCCTCTTTGGTTCAAATCTTTCTACATGGCATGTTTCCTACAGCAAATAATGACCAAGGGGATTAGCCTGCTGATCCCCCACACTTCTCAGTGAATCACAGAATCACAGAATGGCTTGGGTTGCAAGGGACCTTAAGGATCACCAGTCTCCAACCCCCTTCCATGGGCAAGGACACCTCCCACCAGACCAATTAGCTCAAAGCCCCATCCAACCTGGTCTTGAGCACCTCCAGCAATGGGGCATCCACAACTTCTCTGGGCAACCTGTGCCAGTGCCTCATCACCCTCACAGTGAAGAATTTACTCCTCACATCTAATCTAAATTTCCCCTCTTTTAGTTTAAAACCATTTCCCCTTGCCCTATCATTATCTGCCTGAGCAAAGGTTGCTCACCATCTTTTTTATTAGCCCCATTTAAGTACTGAAAAGCTGCAATAAGGTCTCCCCAGAGCCTTCTCTTCTTCAGGCTGAACATCCCCAGCTCTCCCAGTCTTTCTTCATAGAAGAGGTGCTCCAGCCCTTCTGATTATCCTCATGGCCTTCTTCTGAACCTCCTGTAACAGGTCTATGTCCTTCTAGTGCTAAGGGCCCCCTAGATCTGGATTCAGCACTCCAAGCGGGGAACTCCAAGCAACATCACTATGCTCTTTTGTTATCCTTTCCATTTATATCTGTCCAGACAAAATTTAGCAGCAAGCTTGCTTGCAGGAAGTTATTCTGCACATAGGTGCTGCCATCACTGTTTTACCCTTTGCAGCTTTCAGGCACATTTGGTCATTGTGGAGACCACCTCGTTGCAGAAATTCTGTGTGACAGTGAAAAGCCACTTACTTAATGTTCACAACCAGGCTGGGACTCCAAATGAGAAACAATATGCAAAATGAGAAACATTTAGAAAGGTAGAAACATCACAAATTAGTCTGATTTTAGGCAAATTTTCTCCAAGCTCGCAAGAACCATACTGGATTGAGAACTGCTGTGGATATAAACCTTCTGGAGAGAGAAGGGACTCTGGCTTTCTTACTCTGCCTGATTTCTTCTCCTGAAATGAAACTTTTTTTTTTTTTTTTCTATCTGCCTCAGAGCTATGAATGCTTAAAAAAAGTAATCACAGTTTTGTTGTTTTTTGCTGCTTCTCTATTGACAAACAGGGAATAAAAACGTCTTAGGAAAAGTTCAAGCCCTAACACTGATTCCACAAAAGCTCATGTTTACACAGTAAATCACTGTGTGACCTCCAGGGCCACCTGCTGATCATCAGCTATGGAGTCAGCATCTTAAGGAAAGAAAACACAAATTCATGAACTGCAAATACAACCCTGATCTTAGAAACCACTGACTTTCCTTAACTACTGGCATATAAGTATTTAGAGACAAAAATAAGTCTTTAAATAGGATTTATAAGCTTAAGCTTTACAAAATAGCCATTCTTGTAGAAAGTTGTTATTCAGGGAACCTTTATTTAATCTTTCTATTCACCATAGTCTTGGTGTTGTAAGTTGATTCCCAATGTGCACCCCACCAGAACCTGAAGAGTGGTTCAAAACAGGCAGCAGCTGGACACTGCTGAAATTGCAAGGCCTCTATTCTCAATTTTTGTTTGTTTTGTTTTCCTAAAAGACATACTTTTATGGATAGCATCTTAAGGGACTGCTCTAAGTCAGATTTTACTTGACCCTCTCTTTTTTCTTTATCTTTTTTTTTTTCATCTTTTTTTTCATCTTTTTTTTCATCTTTTTTTTCATCTTTTTTTTTTTTTTTTCCCCCTTTAAAAGTTGAACTGTTATTATATTACAAGCCAGCCTTGTTTTCTGATTTCTGTAAATGTACCTTTTCAATCCATTCCAGTTGCTGTTAAGGAGGTGAAGGAGGAG